TGTACCTTTACTAGAACTTCCTCTATCTATACATGCATCCAAACCTTTCCTCCGTCTGTTAGCTACTGAGTACAGTACGTCTCCTTTATCCCTAATTGACATGCCCGGCGGCCACTTTGTCACGCCATCTTCCGGATGTTACATGTACCAGCAATATTTCAAGTTGACATGTTTTATCAATAATTTAGCTTTCGGCTGTTTTCGTAAAAACACATATGTTTTACATTCAATATTCATCAAGAAGCACTTTTTTCGTTGTAAACTATCGAAACAAGATATTTTACATGATTTTGTGCTAACCTTATCAAATAAAGAGCTAATATTTTACCAGTATCGGAAAATACCATTTCTGTATCATAACCCCTCATATCGCATTTGATTGAATGACACTGTCTTGAACCCTGCTATGACACACAACTTACGAATGCAAATATTGCTTACTAAACAACAGTTATGTTTCAGAATAAAAGAATGCAAGACTTTTTCTAACCAGATATTCAGTTTTTGTACCATTAATTCTATAGTAACCAAAGACTGCTAGGCTATGACATAGACCATTGGTTTCTATAGTAACCAAAGACTGCTAGGCTATGACATAGACCATTGGTTTCTATAGTAACCAAAGACTGCTAGGCTATGACATAGACCATTGGTTTCTATAGTAACCAAAGACTGCTAGGCTATGACATAGACCACTGGTTTCTATAGTAACCAATGACTGCTACGTCATCTATAAAGAAAGAGAACAGTTCCAAAAACATTCATGACAGGAACCATACAACATTCCTGTATTAGAAGACACACACGTGAATATAGCATCTCTTAAAACAAATTTAGAATTAGATACAATTAAGGCAAACAATAAACGGATCTGCACTATGCAATTTCATTCTTTTACGACTCGTCAATGATGATAATGGCCTACATTTAAACATATTTGTGTATATTGTGAAGCTTGCCACTATTCATCAACCTCTATCCTCACACGGTGCCATCGGCATTGGTAAACATTGGCCTGAGATCATTCACCGACAGAGTTCAATACCTGACATTCATCATTGGTACCTATCATCCGAACTTCATGCTTCTGGGACTTTTGGTTAATCAGAAGATGTTGAAAGGTTTTAACAAATTTGACACCTGATACTTGACTAAATGTCATTTCTATTCACAAACTTTGTCGAGCTTCACCCTAGCAAGCTACAATCCGAACATCGTGACATTTCGCCATTTTGGTTATTGAGAAGACGGCCTTCAAATGAAAAACATGAAACCATACGGGCAGACCGACGAACGACGCGCCACGGCAACAGCTCACATGACCATTCGGCCCAGGTGAGTTAATAAAATAGGATTCTAATCTTTAACATAGAAACAAGCATCGATAAAACTCGTGAGGCTGACGATACAATAAATAAGTGTGCGATATGCCAGCGGCTTACCATCATAGGTAGATATCGAAAACCAGATACACTAATTAACAGTAACAGAAATATTTCAAATCTTCCGTCCAGGCATATTTATTGGATGTTTCTCAAATACTCCGTGCAAAGCTTTCGATATTTATCTATATTTATAACGTCAACTCTCTTCCCGTCCCCGTCCCAGGTGTATAGGAGAGTCAATAGACACTTATCTGCGATAGCCCATGGACAACGAAGGTTGTCATTCTCCGGAACTGAATTTCTATCTAACATCTCCTAGTTATCTGAAAGTCCAGTACGTGAACTGATTCCTAACCTAACAATCTACCGTTGAAGTCTGAAACTTACTGTTGTAATATTCCTTGTTTTTCCACACCAGATAGCGTTTTGCCTGTATGTGTCCCTGAACTAGGTTACAGACTTTGTCGGAAAAGCCAAGCTCGCGCAGGAACTGGCCTCCAAGGACAAAATGGTCCTTGGCCCCAAGATTGGTACCGGATGTTACCATCTTCTCAAGTCCCTTCTCCATTCCTATCAGGTGACCGACATCATGGAAGAAGGCTGCCAGTACTACCTTTTAAATATATTTGAACGTATTCTGAACTTACTGTAAGAAAAGTATTTAGTCCATGGATTGAACATATTCCAAATAACGTCCTAAATTATATATATATTATATTTTGACAGATCTCCTATGATATTTTTATTAATAAGTTCAAATATCTAAGAATATCAACCAGGAAATGGGAGTGCGTAATACCATAAGCGACCCCGCAAAAAATGGTGCACGCATCAGAATCTACGAGATATGAGAAGAGAGGTAACTCTTACACGCTGACGTTGATGTTGCGTGATGATTTAGGGGACACAATGTAACGGTTCTATCTTAGATGAATGGATGGACTTTTTTTAGTTACTCACATTTTCTCCGAATGATGCCACAGAACCACCTAAACTGGTGAAAGTCATGACTTGTGCCCCCGGTTTTGAAGGACTTTTATGTACTTTGTTACGCGGACATTGTATCCTCAGATTCAAATACAGCGGGGGATTGCGGAATGTGGCGATGTACACATACCAAACAGAATAACATAATAGGACCCAGATTGTAAAGATGTAAAGGGGATTTGAATTGTTTATGAAACTGTTTCTCCATGGAATTGTCACTAGACTTATAATACCAGATGTCTTATAATGAGACTGGCGATGCATGCCGCGCAGTCAAGTTGGTAAGTTAATCAATGAAATGTATTTGAAATGAAATTACGGATGAGTTAAGCAACGATCTTAAAGTCTATGTTTACCTCAGCAGGTTGACCATCTTGTTCTGCTAGTACGGCACACTGAGTCATGTGTTCAACCAAACTGACCGGCTCACCAATATAGTGACCACTGCCACGACGCTCATACAGAAAGAAAACTGCATTCACTCTGTCATCCACATCCATTCCTCAACGTCACGACCAAAGTTGGGGAAGTCAACGAGATGAAAAAAAAAAGTTGCTTTCAGTCCTTAAAGGGTATGGAGGTGTCCTCGAAACTGTATCGCACACGTCGTACAATAAATAATTAAAATGTTTAAGCACAGTCACACTGTGCGGCTAACACAAATGTCAGTCGAGTGTGATATGTCTTTAGACCAAGGCCTTTTGGTTATTCTCTAAATGTGTTTTCACGTTGTGAGCTTAACAACTTGTCAGTATAAACGTTCACCGTGAAAAATTAAATATTCAAACAAACATTTAAATAACGTGTTTACATCTTTATAATATCAAAAGTGGGAATTGTGTAGATGTTAATGAATTAGATGTGTGGAAAATTTATATATCTGAACGGGATGACAGGTAAAAAAAACGATCACAGATTGTCAAGGTAACTAGTTCTGTATAGTGAACTGGTATCAACAACAAGTAGGAGGCTTACGTCAGCTCTACAGATATCAGTATTTTTTCTCAATACTGTTATCGGTGTTTTTCTGGTACGTCGAGGATTTCGTGAACATCGAAAAGCTAACAGTGTTCAGGGAGAAGTTGAACAATGATTGATATATCTATATACATATGTGTGTGTGTGTGTGTGTGTGTGTGTGTGTGTGTGTACACGAAAACAAGTAACATCGTTATCATTCAACATCGAGGAGACGAAAACATCGTATGAATGAAGAGGATATCGAGGCAAATAAAACCAGATGTTCCAGAAGAGAATGCGTTATCTGTTTCCACACTCAACATATAAAGCTTAGTCAATTCCAAACACATTTGATGTCACACATAAAGAAATAGAACATTTCAAAATGAATTCATAATGGAAATCATACAACAGTCCTATGGTTATAAAAAAGGTACACTAATGAAGAGTACCTTAAAATAGATCTAAATACAATAGAACCAAACAATGAATGGAACTGCACCTTGCAGCTGTTCCGTCGTTCAGGAACTCGTCAGTAATGATAAGGACCAAAAATTCGAATCCTCGAAAGGAACCGAGGAAAATTGAAAGTGATTAAAGGCGATGTCATAATTAAGATAGGAAGAGGCAATAGCCCCATAATTCATTACAATTTTCATATATCTGACAATTTAAGAACATCAAGTATATATGTATATTGTAAAGCGTGAAACTATTCACCAACCCCGTCAAACGGAGCTGATTTTTAAAAAACTTATTTGTATCAGTAGTGCTTTTAAGGTAAAAGGTCTAATGAGCCTGCATCGCTCACCTGGTATTCAATTTTCATCAAAAGTACAATCAATGTTCACAACAAATACATTAACACGTTCACCATTATCATTCAAAGGGGGTATATCAAATCAATTTTAACCAGCTATGACCGATATTCAGTTTCTCGGAATTTTGGTTTAATAGAAAAAATCTTTTACAGGTTGATCCTAGTGACCTTGAATATGGGTCAAGATCACTTGTTTCGCAAATATCGTCAACTTTCATCTCAGATACCTATCTGCAAATATACTTCTAGATGTTCTGGTAAATCAGAAGTAATGGTTTAAAGTTTAACAAATCCTACCCCTACGAATTTGTGTTACGGCCATTTCTTTTCGCAATCTTTGTCATGGTTTATATTAAGATAACATCAGCCAAATACCATGCTTCTGGGCTTTCTGGTTAGTCAAAAGAAGTTGTTAAAATATTGTATCTCATTTTACCTCTGATCTTGAATATAGGTCAAGGTCAGTTCTTTTCGCAAAATTTGTTGGGTTTAACCTCAGAAAATATCTGCCAAAACTCATGCTTCTTGGCTTTTTGGTTGACCAGGAAATTTAAAGATTGAAGAAATTTGAACCCTGTGATGTTGAATGTAGATATATGTTATTTAATTCGCAAACTTTGCCGGGATTTATGCTAGGACCTCATCAGCAATATACGATATACAATATCCTTCGGCCCAGATGAGCTAATAAAACGGGATTTTAATCTTCGACAAAGAAACAAGCATCGATAAAACTCGTGATGCTCACGATACAATAGATAAGTGTGCGATATGCCAGCAGCTTACCATCATATGTAGATATCGAAACCCAGATACACTAATTAACGGTAATAAAAATATTTCAAATCTTTCGTCAAGGCATATTTATTGAATATTCCTCAAATATTCCGTGCAAAGCTTTCGATATTTATCTATATGTACATTTGAAACATCAACACTCTTTCCCTTCTCGTCCCAGGTACGCATGCGTAAGATAATATCAAACAGTGGATTGTTCTCGAAAGCTCTGGCTTCCTCGTCACTCATCCGTCCCCCCTGGTGCTCAAGCGTCAGTCTACTGGCAGGACTCAAATCTGAATGGAAAGAGATATGATGTACTACGCACAAACATATCTTAATACAAAATAAGTACCACGAAAATAAAGTTATCAACTTCACTACTAGTTGTTAGAAATCTGGCTTTACACTAGAAGATGCAACCTGGAAGACTTCGATGACGAATGGTTGTAGAATTAAGACCTGTATTGGATAGCTAGGCAGTGTATAGTGTCCCAGTGTCTATACAATAGTCCATGGACAACGAAGGTTGTCATTCTCAGGAACTGAATTTCTATCTAACATCTCCTAGTTATCTGAAACTTAATTTTGCTAGGTACGTGAAATAATCACTTACCTAACAATCTACCGTTGAAGTCTGAAACTTACTGTTGTAATATTCCTTGTTTTTCCACACCAGATAGCGTTTTGCCTGTACGTGTCCCTGAACTAGGTTACAGACTTTGTCGGGAAAGCCAAGCTCGCGCAGGAACTGGCCTCCAAGGACATCATGGTCCTTGGCCCCAAGATTGGTACCGGATGTTACCATCTTCTCAAGTCCCTTCTCCATTCCTATCAGGTGACCGACATCATGGAAGAAGGCTGCCAGTACTACCTTTTAAATATATTTGAACGTATTCTAAACTTACTGTTAGAAAAGTATTTAGTCCATGGATTGAACATATTCCAAATAACGTCCTAAATTATATCTATCTATCTATATATATATATATATTATATTTTGACAGATCTCCTATGATATTTTTATTAATAAGTTCAAATATCTAAGAATATCAACAAGGAAATGGGAGTGCGTAATACCGTAAGCGACCCCGCAAAAAATGGTGCACGCATCAGAATCTACGAGACATGAGAAGAGAGGTAACTCTTACATTTACACGCTGACGTTGATGTTGCGTGATGATTTAGGGGACACAATGTAACGGTTCTATCTTAGATGAATGGATGGACTTTTTTTTAGTTACTCACATTTTCTCCGAATGATGCCACAGAACCACCTAAACTGGTGAAAGTCATGACTTGTGCCCCCTGGTTTTGAAGGACTTTTATGTACTTTGTTACGCGGACATTGTATCCCCAGATTCAAATACAGCGGGGGATACCAAACAGAATAACATAATAGGACCCAGATTGTAAAGATGTAGAGGGGATTTGAATTGCTTATGAAAATGTTTCTCCATGGAATTGTCACTAGACTTATAATACCAGATGTCTTATAATGAGACTGGCGATGCATGCTGCGCAGTCAAGTTGGTAAGTTAATCAATGAAATGTATTTGAAATGAAATTATGGATGAGTTAAGCAACGATCTTAAAGTCTATGTTTACCTCTGCAGGTTGACCATCTTGTTCTGCTAGTATGGCACACTGAGTCATGTGTTCAACCAAACTGACTGGCTCACCGATATAGTCACCACTGCCATGACGCTCATACAGAAAGAAAACTGCATTCACTCTGTCATCAACATCCATTCTTCTCCGACCAAGATTCAGGAGATCAGCGAGACAAAAAAACTGATTTCAGTCCGGAAAAGGGCTATGGAGGTGTCCCTGAAACTGTACCGGAAACGTCATACTACAGATTAAAAATAATCAGGACAGGAACTCTGCACCTACGACAGATGTTTGTCCTGCACATTTTATTTTCTAGATCAAGGTCCTTTGATTATTTTCTAGATGTGTTATCAAGTTGTTAACTTCGCAACTTGTCAGTATAAACGCTTATCTTGAAAACAAGCATTAAGATTCAGTGTCTACATCATTATCGTATGTGGTAAATTGTGTGGATTTAAGTTAATTTGAAGCAGAGAAAATGGGATAACAGATTAACGACCACGGCTTGTCAAGATAACTAGTTCTGCGGATATCAGGTTTCTTTTACAGTATTGTTATCTTTGTTTTTTCTGGTACGTCGAGGATATCTTGAATATCGGAAAACTAAGAGTGTTCATGGAGAAGTTGAACAATGTAATAAACATTAGAAATACGCAGTAACAGATGTGATGTCTGCGTTTCTCGTTACCGCCGCGGGTTTAAAGAGTTTTGGTGCAGGGGCCTGGAAGGGTTATTTACTTTTTTGCGTGTGGTTTTTTTATACGTTTGTGTTCTATGCTGTTATCTCTACTACGTGTAGGTAATTTGAAACATGACCGCATGTAGCGAGAAATTGTAGAAATACAACTATCATTCATAAATTTTCTTTTATGAAATGTCTCACATTTTACCAATCAGAACACTGCATGTTCATTACTGCAATAGCGACTCTCGGTCTCTCATTATTACTGTACATGTTCATGTACGTATAGGGTCGCGACCACTGAGTTCTCGTCGGAATTTTTCACATTTTTTTCGTTCTTTTTTCAAATATGGTGAAACTGACAACGTTAAAAATCGACATGAACAGTGTTTAGTTCATTTCAAATTTTGAGAAACATTTGTTTATTAATTTTGTTAAATTTCACGAAATATCGACAGATATTACAACTGCCGACTCTTGCGATTTGCCGACATCAATAGGGACACTAATCTTGATTTCAAAACATAAGAGGATTGCGCGGGAAACAAAATCGAGTTTCTCTTACAAAGTGATTTCTGTGCTGTTTCAGGTAACTGATAATGTACTGAATTTCAATACCGTTTTCGAACTCCTGGGAATGAAACAAAACCGCATGAAGTGGTGTTGTCGGCGTGATTCGAGTGAAAATATGTGATAGACTGGATTATTACGGACTACAAAAGTATAAGACAAACACATAGTTAAAATGAAAGGATATTGTTATCAATGTTGATAAATAGATTGAAAAGAAAGAGAGAGAAAAAAAAAGCAACATCTAATACTTGAGATTTTGAGCATGGTCTCTCCGAGGTTTGGGTTGGTATACCAGTACATTGTGTTTTTATATTCGTTTCCATTCCATGTTAGTGAAATTTGCTAGAAAATATTTCATATAATCCAATCCTCAAGCACAGGATTCAGCCAATGGTCGTTACAATAAACAGTTGATATGTCTATCAGATATTCCTGATATTTAGATATTGTTAGGCCGAGTTTCCCCTGTATGTTACACAAGACAGACTTTTTTCACAGACATGTCTAATATAGGAACCAGAGAAAACCCTAACTTATGCAGGCCTTAATAATACACTTGGTTGGGAGTTACAATGTTTGATAATTTAAAACTAAATAAATGAATAAATACTCCATATATAATGAATGGCACTAGATATATAACTGTTCCACATGACTCGGTGACCTTTATAATTAAATCAGAGGAATTTCTCGTCATCATCTTTCTCAATGCTTTTATGCAGTCCATTCAAGCGTTTTTGATGGGGTTTTTCTTGCCGTCTTTATCCTTCACTTTCCTTGGATTCTTTATTCTCATCTAGCTGTTTAGCAATGTTCTCCAGAACAGTATATTTACATCTATAGTTATGTGTTTCATTTCGAAGAGAAAATGTTCAGTCTATCCAGTCTGTGTTGTTTGATGGCAATAAAATGTTTCATTAAACGAAATCTTTCGAATACTTTTACAGTAATTAGTAGAAATTTCGACTCTTGTCTTTATCCTGTAATAAGCTCGTTAAAAAGCTGTATTAATTAAATATTTATAAACTTAAAGACGTGTACATGAAAAAGAAGCTCTTCATTTTCTCTTTCCAAATTTAACAATTTTTTCAACGCTTCTTTTTCGTTGACAATGCATATATAGATAGTTTTCAAGAAGAATATCACAAACGTATTAATCTTATACCATTTTTATTTACTATACGCCAATTCTTATCCCTTTTCGAACACTGAAAGGTCACCGGCTCCGAAAATTAAAAAAAAAAGGAAATTGCGCGAAATCGTTAGATAATATCTAATACAAAGAAATCCGTCAATTGCACGATAGATCTAGAGCACTTTTTTACCTGTCAATACTCGATGAAAATAAGATATTTAGTTATTTCCCGTTTATTTATTATCTGTATTTTATTGGTTTAAGGGGCATTGGCCTAAACAGTCAGTACATATCACTATGTGCTGCTATACTATCACTATGTGCTGCTATACTATCACTATGTGCTGCTATACTGTCACTATTTGCCGCTATACTGTCACTATGTACCCCTATACTATCACTATGTGCTGCTATACTATCACTATGTGCTGCTATACTATCACTATGTGCTGCTATACTGTCACTATGTGCTGCTATACTGTCACTATGTGCTGCTATACTATCACTATGTACTGCTATACTGTCACTATGTGCTGCTATACTATCACTATGTGCTGCTATACTGTCACTATGTGCTGCTATACAATCACTATGTACCGCTATACTATCACTATGTATCGCTATACTATCACTATGAACCCCTATACTACCATTATGTATCGCTATACTATCACTATGTACCGCTATACTATCACTATGTACCGCTATATTACCACTATTTACCCCTATACTATCACTTTGTACCGCTACACTATCACTATGTACCGCTATATTACCACTATTTACCCCTATACTATCACTATGTACCGCTATACTATCACCATGTGCTGCTAAACTACCACTATGTACCGCTATACTATCACTATGTACCGCTATATTACCACTATTTACCCCTATACTATCACTATGTACCGCTATACTACCACTATGTACCCCTATACTACCACTATGTACCGCTATACTACCACTATGTACCGCTATACTATCAATATGTACAGCTATACTATCACTATGGACCCCTATACTATCACTATGAACCCCTATACTACCACTATGTACCGCTATACTACCACTATGTACCGCTATACTATCAATATGTACAGCTATACTATCACTATGGACCCCTATACTATCACTATGTACCGCTATACTACCACTATGTACCCCTATACTACCACTATGTACCGCTATACTACCACTATATACCGCTATACTATCAATATGTACATCTATACTATCACTATGGACCCCTATACTATCACTATGAACCCCTATACTACCACTATGTACCGCTATACTACCACTATGTACCGCTATACTATCACTGTATATATATAGGCATTGATGCATTATGCCTACCCTGTCGTGTTGTTATGTGAGAAAACTGTACATGTACGAGTTAAACTGACCTGACTTGTCTATCCAATGAATGGTGACACCTAATAACAGACAAACAGCGATGACGAAAAAAATGGCCGCCTGTCAACTGTACACATTACAACGGGGTTAGTTGTGCATTATGTAAAGTCTTAGTTACAGTATTTACTAATGCACTGATAAACTACCAAGGCAATTAAATACAATACTTTACGAAAGTGTACAGTCGATTAGATCAGAAGAAATTACTATGAATAGGGATGTGTCCGTGTGTGTGTTTATGTCATGATGCACAATTCATTTCCATCAATTATGCATCATTCTACATAACATCCTTTCAAAACTAGCTACCCTTACAGATCGAAGTAATCAGTATGGCCACTTACTGTTTCGTGTAAAATTCAACATCTGCTGGTCCAGTCTTAGGATGAAAAACCCTATCGATTGATGTAGCTCATTTGTTCAGGTACACGTGTGCACTACGTGTGTAGGCTGTTTATTGCACCTGAATAATAAATAACTTCAGGGTTACGTGAACAGTCAACCCTGAAAGAGGTAGCGATAAATATGTACACTATTATCAAGTAGATATAGAACACCTTGGGAGAGACGGAATCTTCTTTTATTATCGATGGAACGGTCAGGTTTCTAACCTGTAGTTTACGAGTGATTGTCCTGGGATAGGTAATGTTATATATTTCATCTTGAGTTATTTTTGCCAAGTGATGTTCGATGATCCTATCAGAAAATTCTTTGTGATCTTTACCGGGCATATTATATGCCGACGGGTTTGCGAGGTGAACAAAATGCCTTTTCAAGCGTTGAAGTTTTGATCTTTCCAGCCTGTTTTACTACAGTAAATGTTTTTTCTCTTGTTGTACGAATTTAGAGGCCATACGAAAATGTTGTGATTCATGTATCACTAATAGGTTTAACATATAACACATAAACAGTCGTGAAGTCAAAAGAAATCGAAGTCAGCAGAAGTGATTAATTCATTTAAAGGGCTTTAATGTCGCATCAAAATAAAAGACATGTTTTTAAGTTACTCTTGACTGGTGACAAAAACTCCCGGCTCTGCAGTGGTTCTGGCTTTAGTTACTATCAAAGATCGTAAGAGTGGACACGCTTGAAGGGAACACCTTGTCATATTCTCTTTTTCAAGAGCATCCGTGTACTGATGATGGTGGGCTGTTCAAATCGCCCTTCATCCGTGGTTCGTACTGGATGGATCTTCTCGCATTTCGCATTAAGTTTCCCCTTTGTCTCTAGCTGTGCCCGTTTGATTTTGGGACTGATCAGAAAAACTGCTATTTCTTGAGATTGTACAAAAGACATACAAATGAATAGCACCTTCCCATAATTTAGAGTTAGATAGAGTAGAGCCAAACAATGAATTAAA